CCCCCAAAGGCTTCTTCTAACATTCAGAGAGGTCATGAACAAAGGAAGGGTCCCTTGCTAAGTGGGAGCCCATAGGAAGGTACCTCAAACGTCTCTCCCACCTCCAAAGATTCCATGAGGCCCACATTCTCTGATGCTAAGATTTCACAGAGCCAGAAGGAGTCTGAGACTCAATGCTTCTGTGTCTTGGTCATGGGCATATCCAAACTCCTACCCTGCCTGCAAGACCCTGCTCAATTTGGCCCCCTTTCCCCTCTCCAAACCCTTCTCTGACCTCACCCCTCCAGCCACACTGGCCTGCTCAAAGTTCCCAGGACATATTAAGCTCGTTCCTGCCTCAGGGCCTTTGCACCTGCTGCTGCCTCTGTCTGGACACCCCACCCCCACCCCGCCAGCTCTTCCACAGCCCGCTCGTCTCCCTGCTCAGGTTTTGGTGGAAATACCACCTCCTCCAAAACGCCTTCCGTGACTCGCTCATTCCCCAGCACCCAGCACAGGGTGATGGCAGACCGGGCAGACTGGAGCCCACTCCTCAGGTTCATATCTCAGCTTTGCCAAGAGACCTTGCACAGGTTACTTAACCTCTTTTTGCCTCAGTGTCCTCAGCCCTAAACCAAGGTTCATCGCGGTACTTGCCTCATGGGTTGCTGTAAGGGCTAAATTCATCAATGTGTGCAAAGTGCTTTGCAACAAAGCCCAGCACGCAGTAAGCTCTTTGTAAGGACCAGCTTTGTTAGCGTGTACCTTGCTTTAAAATTCAGTGCAACCATCAGAGTTTGTTTTCTTGTCTATTTACATATAATCTGTCTCCCCATTCCCCATTTTACAGATGAGGAAACTGAGGCTCAAAAGAGGTGAAGTACTGGACCAACCAAGCTCTCTGGGAATAGGAGCTGCGTCTGTCTCATTTTCCACTGAATCTGTAGCGCCTAGAGCCAGGCCTGGCACACAGTAGGGGTTCGGTGGTTCACTCTGGCTGAATGATTCAATGATGAATAGTGACCACAGCTCTGTCACTCTGAGGTTCTGTGCAGCCAGGAGCTTGTGCATCTAAGACTCTACTTCAGCCCGCCTGTGCACATCCTAGTCCCAAATGACCCCCAGATCAACCACAGTCCCAGCCTCTCTCAGATGTGGCTGCTAGGGCAGGTGGGCGGATGAGCTGGGGACCAGCATCTATGGCCTTGTCCCCAGTGGAACCCCCTCACCCTGCCTGTGCCAGGGAGATGAGGAGGAGCTGCCTTGGCATTTGCCTTGGGATATCCTGCCCAGAGGTATGGTGGCAGCTGCGGGCTCAGGAAGCAGCTGCCGGCTCCCCCGTCCTGCGCTCTGCCAGCTGCCCGCCGGGGGCCTGCCCGCCAGATGCATAATAGATGAGGAGGCCCAGCGGGCCATGCCTGCCTGGCATTTCAGAGCCATTAATGAGCCAGCCTCTCGCTTCCTGCAGCAGCACACAAGGCCCCAGGGCCCGGGGCTCTGTGATCACCAAGGGGAGCCACCCAAGGACAGGGGCCACCCACCCAAGCCCACCACTTGGCACAGCAGTTTCCGGGAGAGTGAGGACTAAAGGCCTGGGCTCAGGTTGACGTCACTGTCAGTATTGGTTCTCTGCGCACTGACTGCGCCTCTCTGAGCCTCAGTTTCCTCATCTGTAAAATGGGGATGGAGAGTAACAGTCTGTACTCTGTAAGACTGATGTCAGGATGGAATGAAATATAATTCAGGTGAAGAGACTGGTCCAGAGCCTGGGACACAGGAAGTGCTCCGGAGATGGGAGCAACCAGTAGCAGTACTGTCAAGAGGAGACATCTCAGCGAGCAGATGAGCCTCCCAGTAAGACACATGGGGCTGGGCAGTGACTTCTGTTTGGGAGGAATTTGGGGCCACTTCACTCGCTAGCTCCTCTCTGACCCCATAACCAAGACTCCCCCCACTCCTGTGTGACTTGGGGCCACAGCCTTCACCATTCTCAGTCTTGGTTTTGGGCTCTAAACGGGGACACTAAGGCCAACCTGCAGGGCTGATGTCATGATCTAACGAGACCTCCATAGAAAATGCCTGGCACACTGTCGGCACTTAATTCTTGCTGGGTTCTGCCTCCTCCTGCCAGGCTCCCCGTTTTAAGGTCAAACCCGACTCTCCCTCTTCCCAGAGGTACTTCTAGAACCTTCCTGCCCTGTGCAAGTCCACTTAGTCATTCCTTCACCCTAACATCTCTCCACGCCCACCCACCCTTTGAGTCCACTTTAAACGTCCAGCCCCCATTCGACGACTTCTGGGACTTCTGGGTCCCTGAGGGCTACAGAACCAGAATCACTCACTGTCCCACTGGCTCCCAGCCCTCCACTAGGCCTCGTCCCTCTTACACTTGCACACCTACTCCAGCTCCTCCCCTGCAGACAACCTGCTGACGGGGGGGGGGTGCAGAGGAATCCAGCCATGGTCACACCTGGCCTCTGCCAGGCCTCACTGCTCCCCTGATCCAAGCCCTTTCAGTCCTTTTTTTTTTTTAAAGCAGTAGAGAAAAATCACACCTCCTCCAGGAAGCCCTCCCAACCTACTAACAAGGTTTTATTTGTTCCACTCTCTGGACACATTCGATTCAATTCCACAAACATCCATTAAGCATCTACAGGGTATGGGAAGATGTGGGAGACAGCGTGGAGGACAGAGACACGGGAAGAATGCAGCCTGGCCTTTACGGGACTTGTGCCAGAAAGTGTGGCTACGCTGAGCACAAAGTGGCTCAAACGACCCCTGCTTTCAAGGAGCTCAGAGGCTGCTTTGTGCTGCAGGGTTCCGTGGACACAGTCAACTCAGGCGAAGTCAACTCACTGAAACATCCAATGCAACACGCACCTGTCAGGCGTCAAGTGGGCGCAGAGAGGGGGACGGACCTGCCCAAGATCACACAACCAGGGTGCGGCCGAGGCAGGTTCAGATCCACGCCTGTCACACCCTGCAGCCCTTGCTCTCCCCCTTCCCCGGGAGGCTCACTACCTCATGCCCTGCAGGCACGAAGGGCAGCAGGGGCGTTCTAAGGAAAGAACGACTGGGATGCGGGGTCAGGAAAGGACACGCCAGACAATCGTGATAATGGTGGGTGGGATGTGGCGAGGGCTGTGGAAATAAAAGGGGAGGGGACAATGTACGCAAAAGCACTGAGGCAGAGGTGACCGGGGCCATATTTCCCTTGTGCAGAAATGCAGGGCACTGGAGAAGCCCTGAACTGGAAAGGGAGGTGGAAACAGGGCTTGAGTTAATTAACAGCACTCAAGACCTGTTAATTAATCATGGAGGTCTCTATTAATCTATGTCTATGAATCATGGAGGTCATGATTAATAGTCAAGATGGCCCCCACTCACTGAGCACTCACTATACGCCAGGCACAGGCTGGGGCTCCGCAGCTGGCTTCCAGGGGCGGGGCAGGGAGGGCCTAGCAGGGTTAGCACCTTGGACAGCAGCTCTGGGTAGGCGGGTACGGGGCAAGGCATTGTGGGTAATAGGCATGCCCTGGGGATTCCAGATCCTTACTCTATCTATAGCAGTGTCAATGAGGCCCAGAGAGGGGAAGGGACCTGCCCAAAGTCACACAGCTGGTCAGTTACCATCAGTCTTGGGCCTCTGACACCCTCTCTTGTTTCGCGGCTCCCCACAGCAGGCCTTCTGGGTCGCCCCTCTGTCTCCAAGTCTTCCCACAAGTGCACCCCTCACTCAGACCCTCCCTGTGGCCTGGAGGCCCTGGAACAGAGTGGGTGAGACTCTGAGCTCTGCAGAGTCTGGGAGATTAAGTCTCAACTCCTAACTGGCTGTGTGACCTCGGGCAAGTCACTTCCCCCTCTGCGCCTCACTGCTGTCATCTGTAATCAGAGATGGCAGTCCCTAACTCAGAGGCACGGCGAGGAGCATGTGAGATGACGTGTGCACGGCAGGTGCTTGACAAGTGGCAGTTGGTGATATTGTTACTGAACGACTTGAAGGAAAGGATGGCTCTTCCTCACCTCTGTCCGCACCTGCCCTGCCGCGCCCTGCTCTGGGCACAGTGTCCCATCTGGCAGAAGGAGAGGCTCAAACAGACCTGGCACAGCAGCAGGACATGAAATCCCAAAAGGGAGAGGAACTGGCCCCAGACTGCACAGGGAGCATCAAAGGGAAATAAAAAGGCAGGCCCCAGAGCTCAGCCTGGGCACCCCTCGTGCTTCCTGCCCCAGGCAGGCTGAGATGTCAGATAGGAGCCGTCCCACAGCTGGGGGCCTGCAGGGCCTGCGGACCCTAGGAAGCCCTCAGCAGGGGCAGGAAGCAGCAGCCAGGGCCGCTGGGGGCTCTCCTGCTGGAGGTGAAGGGGCAGCAGGGGCAGCTGGCCAGGCCCTTGACATGCTAGTGCCGGGACGCCAGGGGGTGCCTGCCTGCTGGGCCGGGGTGCTGTGGGGAGTCCCAGGGAGAGGCTGCACTGCCACCCACTGCCTCTCGGTGTTGGGGAAGCTATAGACACAGCTGCCCCCACCCCTCCAAAGAGGGTGCCTTGTGCAGGAGATGGGGGGGAGTGGCTTTGGCAGCTGTGTATGCAGTGGGATAGAGGGTCTGGAGGTCAGCGAAAAGGCCAAGGGCCCCTCCAGCCCAGGGAGGAGCCACAGAGGAGAAAAACAAACACTTTTAGTGACAGACTACAATATGCCAGGCCCAGTGGGAGGGCTTTTTCCTCTCTTTTTTACAACTTTATGCCCTATCCCCATTTCACAGATGAGAAAACTAAGGTTCACACAGGTTAGTGAATTGCTGAAGATCACACAGGCAATGGCTGAGCCAAGATGTGAACCTGATTTGCCTGACTTCCAGGAGAGCTCTGGAAGGGAGCCTGGGGCAGAACTGGTCAGAGGGTCTGCCCACCCCCATGCCCAGAGAGGATGGCTGGAGGGTTGGGGAGGTCTGGCCTGACATTATGGGGGATAGGAATGGATTTGGGGTGTCTGCAGGGGTCCGGAGAGTCCCCGGTACTCACCATACACTCTGGCGAGGGGTGAAGGACTTGTCCACCCTGAAACACAGCAAGAGGGACAGCCAGTGAGGAGGCGTCGGGCCCACCCCACTGCCCTGCCCTCCCAGGGGCTGGAGGTACAGTGTCACTATCTCCCTCAGGCCGCAGGGCCCCTAATGTCAAATTAGGGACATGGGAATGCCAGGGGGTTAACCCATCAGGAATAGGCAAGATTGGGGTACGGGGAGGGAGGGGGAGCTGTGGGGTGTCAGCAGGGCTGGGGGTCAGCGTGGGCATCAGAGGACAGGTGGAGTGAGGCAGTGATGCAGCAGCTTGGGGGTCAGGGCAAGGACGTAGGGGTGCAGGTGGGCTAGCTTAGAGTACTTCTGGACAGGACCGAGGGCTGTGCTGGGGGGTTGTGGTTTATGGGGGCAAGAAGAGCGCAGCCCTCCACCCAGCCTCCCAGCCTGCCCCAGCCGCACAGCTGGAGCCCCCTTGTCCACCCCAGGGACAAACGCCTGGGCATCTGGGATGAGAACATGAAGGGCTTCCTCCTCTACTCTCACCCCAACACACACATGCCCTGCTCCCTGAATTTGGGGGGCACCCCCAGACTTTGTCTCTCCCGAATCCTCCCAGACCCAGCCTCAGGGAGAGGATATGAGCAGAGCCCCCTCCCTGGTTTTCATCGCCACTGCCTTCTGAGGGCACCTTGGGCTGGGGAGGTCTGGGCTGCTGTTGGAACAACAAACAACTCCTGCCTCCTGCCCAGAGGCAAGAAGGAATGAGGAGGGAGCCAAAAACAGGACTCCTCCAGCCAGCGAGGGGGCACCTTCCAGAGAGGCAGGGCTGGGGGTTCCCAGTTAGTGTGGAGGCTGACTCTGCAGATGGGGAAGGCGAGGCCAAAGAGGCCAGGACTGGCCCAAGGTCATACAACAGGACCAGCCCCACCCCCGGAGCCGCCCCTCCGGATCAGCTGACCAGAAAACTCAGGGCCCAACCCAGGCTCCTCTGGTCAGCTGACAGCCAGCAAGGCCCCAGATTAGGGGGGCAGCCCCCTTGCCTCCCACCCCACCCGCCCCTCTACTGGGGTCTCCTTGGAAGTTGAGCATTCACAGAGGGGACACACCTTGGGCACAATCTCTGTAGCTCAGAGAGCACCAACTGTGTACCAGTAGCACTGGACACACAAAGACCAAGTGCTCCACACCCCAAGGTGAGTCAGGTGTGTCCCTCTGACAGCAGGAGGCAGGGCCTGCTGAAGGTCATACAGCTCCTTGGCCGGCCATGGAGGGGCCCTGGGCCCAGCCTGTCTCACTCTTCTTCCTCCCAGTTTGCCACATTTCTGCTGGGGGCAAAAATCCCCCATCCCACCTCTGTACGCCTCTGAGGTGGGCACTTGGGGTCAGGAGAGACAGCGACTCCAGGATGGACCTGGCACTCTGACCCCACCCCTACCAGGCCCCCAGGTCCCCAGGACCGGGCAGCCCTGGGAAAAGGGGTTCCCAAGAGCGGGAGCGCATGCGGCAGGGGGAGGCTGGTGCCCAGGGGTGGCAGAGTCAGCGGGGCCTAATGGCTCTATGCCCTTCTTCCAGGGCCTCCCTGGAGGGCCCAGCAGCTGCCTCCCCCTGACCTGCCTGCCCCCACCCCGCACCCCTGCCTGCCCCCATACACGCAGGCACGAGCGCGCACACAGGCCCAGTCTGCCCCTACACCCGTCACAGACCCGAGCACCACTGCCCTGGGCTTAGACACAAACACAGCCATGCCATCCTGCACTCACGTCCCCACACGTGTGCACGGACACCCAACGGCCACGCACTGCAACACACACGCAAACACACTAACACGCCACGCCACGCGCGCGCTCGGCTCACACGCTCCCCGACACACAGCACTCAGGCACAGCCACAGAGCCACCCCACCCCACCCCGCCCCACGGCGGGGCGGAGGCGCGCGCACGCAGCGCTCGGGCGCCCGCACACACGCACACGCGCCCGCGCACACGCACACGCACTGCCCGCGCCGCGCCCTACCCGCCGTAGGCCCCGAAGGTGAAGCTGCGCTTCCGGCCGCTCATGGTGCCGCCGCCGCCCGCCGCGCCTTCCGCGCCGCCTGCCCCGCGCCCCGGTCACCTTGGCAACGCGGCCGCCCCGCCCGCGGCCCCGCCCGGTCCGTCCGCCCCCGCGGGCCGCGGGCCAGCCCCGGCAGCGGTGCAGAAAGGGCCGCTTGTTCGCGCCGCCTCGGCCGCCGGGCGGGGCTTCGCGGGCCGAGCCGGCTCGGCGGCGGGCGGGGCGGGACCCTCCACCCCCAGCCCTGCGACCCGGGGCGAGGCCGCCGGCGGCGTCCCCGGCTGCGGACGCCCTGCGGGGGCGGCACCGTCTTCCAGGCCCGCTGGAGCCATCGGGCTCGGCCGGCGGATCCGTCCCCGTCATCCCCGGGAGCGCCCAGCGGGCTGGGCCAAGAACTTGGAACCCAGGGTCAGCCCGGTCCGCACCGTGGGCAAGCCGGCCCGCCCTGTGCCCAGATTGCTCGTCTGTAAACGGGACTCTCCCGCCGCCTCCGGGCCCTCGGTGACCGGCTGAGTTACAGCGCGTCAGTGCGCGGCCCAGGCCTGGCGCACGGCAAGTGCTCGCTGGATGCCAGCGCCGAGAGCCCGCACTGGCGTGAGACGCGGGCCTGCCGGCCAGCGTGTGAATGAATGAAGGAACGGTGTCCAACAGCCCTTTATTGCCAGCTCTTACCCGCTCCCGCCCCCGCGGCCCGGTGAGGAGGAGCAGCAGGGAGCGGTGGAGACGCCCCACGCCCTTCTTGAAAAGCCATCAGCTCAGGTTCCCTCACTCAGCAACCTCGGAGAGGGAACTGGCCTGAGTCCTGCGGGCAGTCACTCATTCACTCAACAAACACTCGAAGTCCCTCCTCGGCGCCCAGCTCACCCAGAGCTCACAGTCCAGTGCTCTGCCTCGTAGGGGGCTGTCTCCGCCACCAGGTCATTAGCCACGCCCCCAGGACTCACCACCCTCCACCCCTGCGCCCAGGGAGGCCGCCAGAGCCTTGAGGTCTCTATGGGGCTGTGTTTAAAGGCACTGCAGGGCACAGACGCAGGGGGGATGAGGGAGGAAGGACAGCCAAGCGCACAGGACTGGGCGGCAGGGAGCCTTCAGAGCTTTTCAGGAACTGTCCCACTTGGTCCCCTGGCCAGGGCTTGCTTAGCTCCTTCTTCCCCCAGAAAATGACTGGTCTGGGCACAGGGCTCCACAGACAGTCTCATCCAGGCAGGAGTCGGTGGCGCTGCGGTTGCCCAATTTCAGACATGAAGAAACTAAGACTCTCACGGCAATCACTTCTCTCCTGGGCATCCCTCTCCTCCCCCTGCACCTCCCTTCTGCACAAGCTCTGGCCAGTGGAGGACTCAAGAGCCCCCCTAGAATTCAGAGCCTGGGGAAGGCAAGCCTTACTTCCTCACCAAGAACTACCCCCTTGGTTTTAGCTCTCAGAGGAGGTCGCCCTTGGCAAGGTGCCCTTCTGCCCTGGGCAGGGCTGCAGCTCCTGGGCGGACCCAGCACCCTAGGGCAGCGTGGGAAGCCCGCCCCTCACAGGGCAGTCCGTCGGGCTCCTGAGGCGGGGCCCGGAGCACTGAGGAGAGAGAACTCCCTTCCTCCCTCCCTTCCTTTCAGGGGGGTGCAAGTGGAGCGAGGGGCTAGGCCGGGCTGCGGGGGTGTGCACAGCGCTGGCCTGGGGCCCGGACTCCAGCCCCATCTGGGCCGCTGCACCCCCTCAGACGCAGACTCCGCCTCGCCAGTCTGCCTTTGCAGTGGGAAGCACTCCTCAGTGGGCTCTGCAGGCCCAGCTGGCAGGGTGGCCAAGGGGCAGCCCACACGCCAAGTTTCCCAGCCAGGGCTGGCCCCCGGGAGGCCCTGCTGGTGCTGGGACAGTGGGCCCTTGAGCAGGGCCGTGGAGGCTGAGGGTTCCCACCAAAGACAAAGAGCCCAGTGTGGGCTCCGGCCTCCGCTCTGACCAGCTGCAGCTGCCTCCCTGGCACGGGATGGGGGTGGGGGTGGGAGCAGAAGTGGGGGTCACATTGTGTTGGCCAGGGATACAGGAGGACACTCCCTGGCCAGCTCCTGGTCTCTCAGCAACAGAAGAATTTAAATGCACCTTCTTAACCTGCAAGACCACTTCCAAGAAATTCCCCTTACGTCACAGCACGTGAGCCTGCAATGAATGACCAGGGACAAGCGACAGTGAGGCATGTGTTTATATCCTCATCCTCTGAACCCCCCCCAGAGTTAAAATCCCAGCCCCCCCCGCCACGTGTCAGCTGTGTGACCTTGGGCAAGTTACTTAAGCTTTCTGTGCCTTAGTTTATTCATCTGCAAAATTGGGTTGATGATGAAAATAACAGTACCTACTTCAAAGAGTTTTGCCAAGGATTAAATACATTATTAATTATAAAGCACTGAGAATAGTATAGCACTTAGCACTTAGCATGTGTTTGTTAAATAAACATTTGCTGCAGTACCATCATCTGTATTAGGCTGAACTATATGAATGGCCATTTTTGTAAAGCTAGCAAAGGTTTATTAGTAAGGATTCCAAAACAAGCAAAACAGACATCCGGAGGGTACTGGAGCAATAGGTGATGGTCCGTATACATCGTGCAGTACCACGCAGCTGCAGGAGAGAATGGGAAGGTCTATGTGTAGGCATGTGGAAGACCTGTGGGACAGACAAGACAGACAGACAGACAGACACACACACACACACACACAGAGGCAGTGTAGCACAAGACCAATGCTGGACCTCTGATGCTTCCCAGTGGTGTGACCTCAAACACACTGTTTATCTTGTAGACACTGGCTGCTCCATTGAGCACAGAGTGGGTGCTTGCTCACTGGCACTGGGAAGTCAATGCCATCTTTGGGGGTAGGGTAGAGTCCCCCTTCTTCCTTTGTCTCTAGCCTCTTGCCCAGAAAACAGAGCCGGCTGCCTTCCAGGGTCAAGGCCCTCCCTCTAGGAGGAAGCCTCCTCTCTGGGCCTCCTAGATTTGTACCCAAGTT